GTCCGGCCATGCTTCTCAGATGCAATGGGAACAAATGTGTATTGACCTTCCAGTCGCCTGTATTTGACTGATTTTGCTGTTTCCCTGTGGTTGGCTGCCCCACCTGCTCGATCAGCACCGAAGTTTACATAGGTGTCAGCCAGGGTGGATACACATATGTAGTCCCACACCAGCTGTCTGCCACTCTTCCAAGGGTATATTGTGGTGCCATCAGGGCGAAGTGCGGGGTCATCCGGGTTTTGGTCCCCTAGGATGCGATGTTCTCTCTCTGATCTGCACTGAGCTGGGACGAGGCTGGTCTTGATGATGGCACTGACCTCGTTGTGTCTTGCATGCCAGCCCTTGGATTTTCTGCAGTGCAACACATGCAGTCCACATTGGTCTGCTTCCACCCTGTTGCAAATACACTTGTATTTAGTGAATTAGGTCACCAAGGCGGAGGACCACTGCTACACAAAGGGATTCTGGATCTAGACGCGTGCCTATTGCTGACATGGGTACTGCCAGGAGGAAGTCTCCTGCATGGGGTGGGGGGGGGGGCACTCACTGCTCTGAGGCAGGCTTTCGCCTTGTCTGATGTTGCAGCACTGAGCATGGCATCAACTATTGTTTCCACTAATGGCTGTGTCCCAGCTGGACTATGTATGTTTTTTTTTGTTGGATCTATGACGGGTGCTGGGGCTGCAAGAGCATCCCACTGATTTGAACATTCATTGAAAGCAGGATCGTGTATTCCTGCTGAGTAACTCAGGAGTTAAGGTAGGATATCTCTTACAAGGTCGTGTGATGAATGTGAGGAGGAAAGGAAGGCTCGTAGAGTAATCTGGGAGGCTGTGCGGACACCAAGGCCGCGAGTCTTACAGGGAGAGTTGCTTGCCCACTGAGAATCGTCCAATGGCAGGTTCAGGACTTTCACCAGCATGGACCTCAGAAGGGTATCATACTCATACTCATATAATTTAGGGCTGTTGTAGGATGGAGAACACCTCAGAAAGTAAGTCAACTTTGGGACAGATATGCATCTCGTGAGGAGGAAGAGAGTACCATGGGAGTCAATCTTGTCTATCCTGTTTATCATTCTCCATGGATCAGTGATTTTTGCATCCACGACCACCTCGATTGCTTGTGGGCCAATGGGGGCACCCTGGAGGATGCAGTCCCGTGGCTCGACAACGAGAATGTCTGGAAAAATATTTTTTATTTAGCCAGTGAAGTCTGGGTTGCGGGAGACTATTTCGCATTTGGATGCATTGAGAATGAGGCCCCAGGCTGCTCCTTGCTCCTGGATTTTTCTTATGTCCTCCAAAATTGTATCCGGTGTTCAGGGGACAGTACCATCATCCAGGTGACAGATGTTTAGCCCACTTGTCAGACTATTAGTGACCTCTTTGATGGCTAAGTAGAAAAGGATGAGAGCTAAGGGATCACCTTGATGGACTCCTTCATAGGAGTCTATTTCATGTTCCTCAAAAAAGCTTAGAATCCCCACTGTAGCATGATCGGATGAATAAGTAAAGGGGAAGGAAATGATGTTGTACAGCCCTGAGGAATGCATCTCTTCTGACTTGATTGAAGGCATTTTTAAAGTCAAGCTTTACCAGTGGGATCAGCAATGTAAGCATGCGCTGCATGTGCTGCAGCTTCATTAGCTAGGTGGATCCCAAACCCGAGCTGATTAAGTTTCAGCAAGGTGGCTGTTTCCTGGATGATAGATCTCACTGCAACCTTAGCTACAAGGCGTCGGAGGGTGTTGCCAACGGCAATGGGCCTGATTCCCAAATCCTTCTTTTTTAACCCTTGTGTAGCTCCGGGCTATTTAGCATTGGTCACCCACAGGCGCATACCCAAAAAAAAAAAAAAAATCTTCTAAACCTGTTAATTTGTGTTCTCTGATCACGGGAAAAATAATAAAAAAACCGTAAGTGACATATTGCCCGCTATAGGGTGGGAAAGTCTGGCAAAGAACAGGCGCTGACTCAGTGTGCGTCCCAGACGGTCTGTTGCTCGCCAGCTGTCAGGCAGGAGTGGCCACAAAGAGATAATTACCTAATTATTTCAATGTCTCTGATTGATTTTTCGTAGTTTTTTTGCTGTAATATTATTCAATAGTGTGTAGTGTGATATATTTATATAATAAAATGATTGAATCATCGATGTACTCAAAAATATGGTGTGCATATTGTTGATTCAATTATTATGTTCATCAAGCAGTGAACAAACACTTTGTCAGTTATTATACTATATACACAGGTTATATATAAGTATCTGCATGTTTTGTTAACCATAACGGCCCACTAAGTTGCTATTATGAGTCAAAAAGCAACGAGGAGTGACTGCCTCACACCAGCCAGCCACTCGCTGCCACTCACTCCCTCAACACCTCACTCGCCCACATTCTCCTCCCACCATACTGTTTTTTATTTTATTCACTATATACAGACGTTATATATATAAGTATCTACATTCGTGTTTACCATAACGAACCACTAAGTTGGCATGCTGAGTGGCAGTGGCAGTGGCAGCCAGTGGCAGCCAGTGGCAGCCCGCCACTGGCTGCCACTCCCTCCCTCCCTCACCTCACCTGACTTGCCACCATTCTCCTCCCACCATACTGTTTTTGCTTTTATATACA